ACGACGGGGCCCCTTGGGCCTTAAATATACAAATTATTATTATTATTATTAGATTATTCGTAAAAAAGACGATCGAGCTATGTACTGTACTTTTTGGGATATTTCAGCTTTTTTGAAAGACACTCCTGTTTAGCTCACTCTGAAAGTGCTCATTAGAAATCCGCTTTTAATACCGTTCATCAATACATTAATTTTCTTTAATTTTAATAACTTTATGAGTAAAAATAACGTTTATTTTCTACTCGGGCTTTTGTTTTTCTTATTGTTTTGCCAATGGTGGAGAACATGCGAGTTCCATGAAGCAGTTCAAAGAAGAGTATGCAGCCACTGGAACAAGAGTTTTATGTTCCTGACGTTTTGGATTCCGTCGGAGATCCTTAATCGTAGGTAATGATAACATTTTCTTGATTGCCTTTCCATTTTTCCTTTACTTATTTTTGTTCTTCTTATACAATATTCTCCTTGCTTACTGCGTTTATGTTCTACTCAGGTTTTTTTTTCTTATCGTATTTATTTCTTTGCTACTTTTCTGCTGCTCATGTTTCTACTTCTGCTTTCTTTTTCCTCTTTTGGTTCCACTTCCTATACGCAATAAGTAGTATTAATGTGTCTGTCAACACTTATTTTGAACCAAATTTTACGTTTTTAAATTCTAGTCTTCCTATTCCTTTCATCATCTCCGAAAGAAAAAGAGGGGCAATTTCCGGGACCAAGTTGTATTTTAAGTGACGTTTCGAAAGCATTCTCGCTTCCATCATCAGAGCGTAGTGAGCCAGTAAGTGTGTCCAACTGTTAGCCTGATACCTGATGCCTGCGTGTCAAACGATTGTACCGATCGATTTTTGATGGCTGTTTGAATTGCTCGCGCCCTCGCGGGCGCCTTCATGAGGTGCTTCTGCAGTCTTCCTATACATTCTACTACCTGTCTTCCACATTGTATTTTTAAGACTTCGTCCCTTTTTACATCGACTAAATGTCATTAAATGGATTCGGATCTTATCCAAATATACTTATCTGCATTTATCGTACTATGTTTGGTAATACAACTTCCACAACCTCCAAACCACATACGTTTTCTAACCCTTTATAACTGCTTACCAATTAA